TAATAGTCATTGCAGTTCTGAGCATTCTGCCAAGTGATCTTGTGTTTCTATTTTTAATTTTTAGCATATTTTGCACTTGTCATCTGAGTAAATATCTGCTCTTCTTTGGTGTAGAGTTTGCATTGTTGGGAGAAGATCGTTTAGGCACTTAATTTTGAACACCTATTTCTTGTTTACCTTGGAGCTTCTGCAGTTGCTACCTTTAAATTAACCTATGTTATTCCAGACCTCTCTCTAGTCGATTACATTTGAGTCTTGCTCCATTTCTACCCACTTGTTTATACTCTTTAGATTTTTCTACTCTGTGTTAATACTGACTGTGGTTAGTTGTATAATAAAGCTTCTCGTTGTATCATCTACTCTTAGGCTTTTTCACTTAAGTTCGGAAATTGATCGTTTGTTCCATGGCCATTTCAGAAAGATAGGTATAAATTACAAAGCACCTTCTTTCGCAAGGATGTCTGCTTCATCGTTTTCTTTTATTCCACTATGTGCTTTAACCTTTCCTAATCTAATTTGCAGCTCTTTTAACTTGACTGTGTGCTGAATCTGCTCCAAAAGGCACTAGTTTTTCTTTTTGACTACATCGTATATCCTTTTTGGGTTTAGACTTGCTTGAATTGCCTGTATTGCGGCTGCACTGTCAGTAAGTATCTCAACTGCCGACGGAGCTGTCTATATTGCACCTAATTCGGCCCTTGTGGATGATAGCCAGTCCTTGATTGCAACCCGAAATCTGGCTATTATATTTTTGTGTGTTTTGGAATGGTATGCTGAAACAGCAACCCAACCCAGACACATTTTCCTTTTCTCTAGTTCTTCCACTGGGTTAAATAATGAGCCGTCAGTATAAAACGTGATTCACCTTCTTCCTCTTAACTGGGATGCTACTTCTTTAATCTCCTTTATGGCCTGTATGTCTTCAAAAGCTTGATTTATAATCTCTTCTTCTAGTGGATAAATGGGTATGTTCACAACTGAAAATTCTTGTATGCCCCTAGTTGTGTTTAAACTTTCCTCAAATCGCTGCGATATATCTACAATACTACTAAATGGAGTAACTAATTCTCATATCTGGTTCTGGGTTGATAACTTTCATACAATCTTTGGAGGAATTCCCTGCATCTTGTTTTTCTTTAATCTTCTCCTACAAGAAATTTCATCTCCTGAAAGCTTCATTGAGCCAAATTCGCAGCCTCTGCATTTAACCAATTTGACTGTTATTTCTTGTAGATCTTCTGTATATTCCCAGTATTCTACTAGAATAGTTTTCTTTCCCTTTTTCTTTGTGATTTTTCCTATTAGTGTCTTGTTTTCAGCCTTGAGAAGTACTCATTCTTTTTTTCTTTTATCATTACTTATTAGTGATAACTCTATTTTGGGGGACAGGCAATTGGGTGTTTTGGTTTTAAACTCTGCCTTGATTTCTCTGCTAATTGGGTTTTTAATTATTTTTTTCTCTAGCTTTTTAACCCATAATAGAGTCTTCTCCCTCGCTTTTTGTCTCTTGCATTTTTTAATCTGACCCCAAGTAAATATTTTCTGCCCCGTACTGTCAAGCATCTGCTCTAACACCAGAATACTTGTTTTTTTTTCTTGTATAAAGCCTTTAATCGTTTTCTTATCCAAAAAATTTATGATTTCTACTTCAGCTTCTGAAAGCCTTAAGTTTTCTTTTTTTCTCTAGATCATATACTTATATTTATGTTTTTTGCTTCACTTAAGATTTTATATACAAGGTTTTGTTTGAGCCTAACCTTCTTCAATCTTACTGCATTTAGACTTGTTATATACTGAGTGCTTTTACAATCTAACTGAGCTTGCTGAATTCTGATTCATGTAGCTCTGCCAATTTCATTGTTTTTGTTTATACATTTTCTTAGCTTTGTAATATGATGAGCCATCTGATTCTGTTACAATGTTTTAAGGCCAACTATATTTTTATGTGCCAAGATTGCATTTGCCGTGGTGCTGGCTAAGCCTGATTTATTTTTAATTAGCTTTAGAATGGGGCTTTGAAGTTTGTCGCATTGCTCTCTTGGAATTGTACAATGTTGTAAATGGTACTCCAATCTTGAGATAAGTATTCTATTGTTAATATAGATAAGTTGTGCTAGCGAGGTGTTCTTTTTATAGATTACTATGCTAATCGCTTGTATTTCTTTCTTTGCAATACTTCTAATGTGTGACTGATTATGTTTTTTGGATAGCCAGATACCAAGAAATTTCGTTAACTCGCTTGCCTTCTTTTCGAATACTTTTGCCTTCGGTGTACCAAATTCTATATATCTAGGTTCCTTTATTTTTTTCCTATCTATTATAAGCAGCTCTGATTTCTTGCTATTAATTTTAATATCATTTATTTTGTAAAACTCTTGCACTATACTGATTGTTTCTTCTAGTTCTTTCTTGCTTGATGCTACGAAGATTGTGTCATCAGCGTACACAATTACAGGGATTTTTAGACTATATCGCCGCATATGATTTCTACTCAGATTACTTGGCCAGTTCACCTCAAGCTCATAACCATGCTTTTTGTTCTTTTGAATTTCTGTTAGCAGAGGGTCATAAAATATCCTCTATACGAGAGAAGAAATAACTTCTCCTTGATCAATCCTATCTCCTGCTACAAATCTTTGAGTAGTTCCTAGGCTTGTTAGAACTTCCATTTCACAGTTATCGAAGAGGTTTATGATGAAACGTGTTAATGGCTCTGGGATTTTAATTCTTCGCAGTACGATTGTGAGCATTTTAAGCCCCACAGAGTCGAATGCCTTCTTCATATCCTGGAATAAGAGCCATATTTCCTTTTTCTTTTCTTTCACTTTCTCTACTAAGCAGTTAATGAGATGCACCGGTGCTGCTGTACCCTCTCCTGGGAGACCCACCTTTTAATATCTCTTTTTCGCTTAGAACTTTTGCTAGCCTGTTTGTGATCACTCTTACTACCGTTTTTCGGAATGATTCTAACAATAAGATCGGCCGCACATTGTTTAGGTTGTAATACCAGTCATTCGTCTTGGGTATTGGGTACAAAATACCTAGTTTCTACTTTTTTGCCATAGTAACTTCTTCTATACACCTGGAGGCAAAATCGAGAAAGAACTTTCTTGTAGTAGGGCTAGTGTTTTTTATTAGTGGGTATGTGATACCTGTTCTTCCTGGAGTTAACTTAGTTTTGACCTGCTCCAGAGCCTGCTTCCATTTAGCTGAACTAATCTTATTTGTTGTATCTTTATACCAAGACTTATCAATATCTTCTCGAGGGGCGTATTGGTTTTTCCATCTTGCTGGCATGGCCTCTAACTGTACTGTACTTCTTGTACAAAATTGCTTTTCAAAATGTTCTTTGACCTCCTTTAGTACGTCTTCTGGCTTGTAAATTAGTTCTGCTTCTTCTTCTGTCTTCTTCACTACTCTATCTATTTAGATTCTTCTGTGAGGTCGGTCTAAGAGGCTATTGAGCATTTTCTGTTAGTTGGTGACAATTATACTATGCTTTTCTTCTATGCTTTCTCTAATTTCTGCTTTTGATTCTTTTATGCCACTCTTTGTGCAAAATTTTTGCCCAGTTTTTAAGGCCCTTTGAGCTTAGTATATCTGTTTTATCTTCTATGTCATTACCGACCAAGGCATTAACCTTCTCTAATGCACTAAGTATATTGTCTTTGACTATGTCTTATAGTGGTCCTTTCTTTGCTTTACGATAGCCTTTGTTATATGCTTTTACTACCAGTCTTAGTACTTGTACTTCGTCACTTTCTCTGCTAATTTTCAGAATTTCTGGTGATTTTTCTTTTTTTGAAAGACTTGTGTTTGTCGCTGTTCTGATATATTCTTCGATTATATCCCATTTCTCATCTATGCTTTTGGGTTTGCGCTTGTTCCAGCAGTCTTTTATCTTCTTTTCAAGGCTCTCTCTATACTAGATCCAATCCTCTTTAGAGGCCTTACTTAAATCTAAGTTGACTCTTTTTCTGTTTTCTCGTCTTCTCTTAGCTGCACCTGTTTTCTTTATTTCGAGTTTTGTAGCAATACTTGCTCTTATCAATTTGTGATCACTCATAGTGCAAAGATTCATATTATTAACCTTGGTACTATTTATGCCACTTTTCCATCTATCTGATACCCATATATAGTCTATTCTAGTTTCTGCTTTACTGTTTGACCAGGTTGGGGTGTGAGCCAAATCTTGCACATCATATATATTCTTTTCTTTTAGAAGCACTACAATTTGTTGTTTTATCTTAGACTTAGAACTTGTACTTTCCACTTCGCTATCTGCTAGATCTGGTGTAATAATATTGAGATCCCCCAGGATTATAAAATGCTGCGGCTTTCTGTTGGGTCTTTCTAAGGTATCTTTAAGTATATACAAAATCTCTTCTTGTCTTGTTTTGTCGTTTGGGGCCATGTATAAAAAGATTATAATTATTACCAGGTCTTTAAAGTCCAGACTAAGCTTTAAAAAATATGGATTGTTTCTTGACATATGTATAATATGTTGTTCCCAATGTTTTTTAATCAGCACTTCTAGGCCTGATCCTTTTTTCTTATCCTCTTCAAAGCTTGTCCAAAAACTTTTATATATCTTTGTATTTTTCGTTACAAAAGTGCCTTCTATGTTATTGATATTGGTTTCTCCTAAACTCAAAATGTCTAATTTCTTTTCTTCTGCAAAATCTATTACTGCCTTTAGTTTGTTTTTGTTGTTTTTTATTCCATTAATATTATGAAACCTGATATTTAATACCCTGAATAGTTCATATGTTGTAGCTTTCTCCTTTTTTACTTTGGAGAGCCTTCTCTTTAGACCCTCTTCTATTGGCTCCCTTTTTCTATCCTTTTGAGGTCCAGAGTAATCAATTGATGCGCCTTTGGCACCCTTAGAAGCAATACACTAAGGTGCCGCCTACCGAGGGTCCCTTTTGATTTTTGAGCTTGTCAAGTCTATCTAAAATTTTGACAGCATGTTGTGAATTGAGTTGTTGCTATTGGGGTCAGGATTCTCTGTGGGTTTTGTTTTCTTTTGGCTTTTGGGTGGCTGGTTCTCTTTCTCATGATCTTTCTTTACCGATTGGCTATTGTGCTCTACCAATTTTACTATATTTCTACTAATTCTTTGTCCGAAAGCTCTATTAACTTTGGGCTTTCTTTCTTCATCATCAATTAGCCTAAGTCTTTTTTTTTCCTTTTGGCTTCTGTACTGTTGGACCCTACTGATCCTTCTTTTCTTTTCTCTTATTTTGGCTGGTGTGTCTTGCTGTAGAGTTTTCTTTGTATAGCCGATTACTTGTATAGCTTCTTCTTTCATATACCTATGCCAGAATTCGCCATTCTAGTCTAGTATTAAAATAATACAGGCCTGCACCTTGGGCTTGTGCCATATCTTCTCTTAATTTAAAGTATATATATGCCTTTTTGTTGCAATTACTATGCTGATTTTCAAGAGTGTGAACTGCCTGTACCTTGTATTTTTTTAGTTGGCATAGAAGTAGACTGTTATATACTGTTCTTGGGATGTTATAAATTATACTTTTAAATCTGTTTCTATCTTCGAGCGCAATGTGGTTGAATTTGCCTGGTGTTGTTCTGTATATTCTACCTTGATTTAACTGAACCAACCGACTTTCTCTCAAAGCGCTCTCTTAGCTTTCTATATTGCACACTATTTTAATATATGCTGCTTTTGTAGCAAAGCTATGTTGCCAAGCCATAATTGTTGCTGAGCCAAAAAATTCTAAATAGTTCTTGATTTTATTTCCACTCATTTCTTTTGGGATGTCCCATATTGTAAACAGATATTGTAACTTGATTGTATTCTTTTTGGTGCCAAACTTCTCTTTTGGTGCTCATGCTGAGTTATAAATGTTCTTATAGCTTTTAGATCTTTTGTTATACCTTTTGGCTTCTGGCTCTTTACTGTTAAATAACCTTTTAGCAATTTTTTCTTCGAGCCTATAGTCTGTAGTGCTACACTCACTATTGACTAAGGCATTTATTTTAATCTCGAGATTGCTTTCAGCTATATGTTCATTCATTTCATGCTCTGAAAAGTTTCTTTTACGTGTAATACTATGTTTTTCGGCTAATACAGGTTCATTGTATTGAGATTTTACTATCTTGGAATCTGTAGTGCTCGCCATCATTGGAATTGCTTTGAAGTCTTTACTAGTGTTCAAATTTTGTGAAATTTCTTAAGTAGTGGTGTATCCAAGAAGGATTTTTTCTCAAGAGATATTTCTTGTTTTCTAATTTCTTTGTGTCAGGCCCAGTCATAAAGATATAACATATTGCATATAGTTGCTATCCTCTGTGTTTAAATATTTTGCAATATGTCTTTTAATACTATTGTATACAGCCCGCTATACATTGCTAGTTTTTTTTTTTTCTGATTTCTTAAAAAAGTTCTTGTATTTTTCTAACTCTGTCATCTCTTATGCTTTTGCTTCATGTAATTGCACCTGGTTGCTTAAAGTGTTTTACACGTGATATCTTATTGCTGGGCTTGGTGTTCGAAAGTATGTGTTTTTACATGTTTCACATGATTTTACGTGTTATATATCTTAACTTGTATATAGTTGTGTAGCTTCTCGTAATGCAGTTGCATTACACGAAAGATCTGCAATACAGAGTTATTGCTATTTTCCCAAATGTTGTCGATGCAATAGAAGTTTTTGCTATAACAAGATAAAGCCTTAAACTGCTTTTTTTATACTTTAATACTGTTGTGTTTTAAAGCTTTGCTAACCCTTCTTACTCCCTGCAACTATATATTGCTGTTTGTGCTCAGCTAGAAATTATCTCACTTAAGTATCAATGTGTAGCGGTTATCCTTATAATATGGCTTTTCCTACTTTCTACTTGTTAGGTTGATTACTACTGGCTTGTTGCTAGTTAGCTATTTCTTGCAATCTTTTTTGTTTACTGTTGCGTTTGTTGTAATGTGTATTGCTGTATTTTATTGTAATAAAGGCTTTTTTCTTTCCGCTATTTTTGGTGTCGAATGATCATCAGGGAGAGTGTTGATATAACTTTCAACATTCATATTATTATTATTATTATTTGTATTATTATAATTATTATTCATATTACTATTATTATTATTCGTATTATTATTGTTATTATTTATATTATTATTATTATTATTATTATTATTATTTATATTATTATTATTATTATTATTATTTTTCACTTTGATAACCTTGCATTAATTTATTGGAATTTTTATAATTTACAAAATTAACTATCTAATTTATATATTAGACAAATACTCAGCTGCTATAAAGTGCCCAAGTATGGTTATTGTACTGATATTGCCAACAAGCTTCATATACGGTGCTACCTATATTTAAAAACCTGCTATAGCTTGGTACTTAGGGAGCTGACAGAAATTAGGTGATTTCTATCTCTTAAGAGGCTACCCCCACCCACCCACATCTAATACCTTATTAGCTAATCAAATTGCACAAAAAATTTATATTAATTAATAAAAAATTTAAATATTATATAACCTTTGACCTACTGACCCAATTTGGATGATTTAACTACCAAAATGATCCTCTCAATGACCTTATTCTAACAAGCCTAAAATTATCAAAATCCAATTACTAGATCCTGAGATTGGTATAGATTTGTATACTATATACTATATATTACTATATAGTATTATATTATATAGTATACAAATCCATATCGATCTCAGGATCTGGTGATTGGATTTTGATGATTTTAGGCTTGTTAGAATCAGGTCATTGAGAGGATCATTTTGGTAGTTAAATAATCCAAATTGGTTTAGT